CTGCGAGGGGCTGCTCCCCCATCTCTCCGGCTTGCACTGGTGGCAGAGCAGGTAGGTGAGGGCAGGATGAGGGAAAAACCAGCCTGGGATCCCCATCACCCCCATCCCTGCTGTGGGAGAAAGGGGTCTCCAGCCCTTGGGGCTGCTACCTACCCCGTCACCCACAGCCCAAACAATGCTGAGAGCAAGACAGACCCCTTCCCCATGGGTGAGGGTCCTCATTTCACCTCCCCTCCTGCCACAGCTGGGGGTCCATGATGAGGCTGGGGCACCAGTGGGCAGAGACTGGGCAAATCCCGGCCAGGCACTCGGGCTCGAACACGCAGCATTCCAGCAGCCAGAGTCATTTGCAGCCCAGCACCCATCACCCAGATGGTATTGGCCACCCAGTCAGCCTGACGGCCATGCAGGTGACCCCAGCACTTACCTGGCAGCACCCAGAGCCCCCACAGCACCCAGCTCCAGAGCGGCCACTGGCCCCAGCGCTTCATGGCGCTTCCTCGGCAGCAGGGACAGGGCTGCAGCTCTCCCTGTCCCAGGGGAGCGACGCAAGAGGGTGGCTCCGCCAGTGAGCACTCCCCTGGGTGGGGGGACGGGGATGCCACGTGCCCTTGCCTGGGGCACTGACGGCTCTGTGTCCTCGGAGCCTGCCATGGAGGCAGATGTGTCGCAGTCCTGGTGACCCACTGATGCTGGGGGACACCTGTTTTGCCATGGGAGGTTTCAAGGCCCTTTGCAGGGTGACCCCATGGTTGACATCCCAAGGTTGGGGTCCCCAACTCCTGAGGAGCACCCCATGGGCTGCAAAGTCACCTGGCCCAAAGGCCCTGGGATGGCAAGTGGGGACAGGGGGTCCCCAGCACCTCTGGGAGCGGTGGGTCAGCCCTGGGCCCTGCACCCCCCATCCACCCCCACCCAACCACCATTTGCTGCTGGCTCCCTGCGAGGCTCAGCCAATAACCCCTGGCAGGGGTTGGATTGCTGCCAAGGAGGAAGAAGGAAAGAGCAGTCTCCCGCTCTTGCCCCAGGGTTCCCCACATGTTGATCCAACCCCGGCCCCACTCCCAGCACTGCCACCCAGGAACGGCGTGCAGGGGTTATCTGTGCCATCGCAGCAAACGCCCACGTAAGTCCAGCCGGGGGGAGGTTGTTCCCGCATGGATGGTGGGGCTGGGCCTTGCCCTGGGTTGCAGGTCACCTTCCACCAGGGACAGAGGCCGGGGGCACCCGACCGTGCAAAGGGACCCCGTGGGGGCCACGTCAGCAAACACGTTCGCTTCTTCACGGGGCCCAGCCCAGCTCCAGGAAAGGGGAAAGAAGTGGGTGAAAGTGTTGTGCCTTGCTTGCTTCACTGACAGCCAACCCACCTGGCTGCCATGCCGCGGTAGCTGCCCCTTAGTTGGGGAAACTGAGGCACGGAGAGCCCAAGGTACCTGTGCATGGTCGTGTCCACAGCAGCACCAGCAAACTTCCTCGTCCCCATATTCGGGGGAGGGGGGCAGAGGTGAGCGGAGCTGTGGATGCATGTGGCACATAGGTACCATCTGCCATGGGGAGGGACCCACCAGGGCAAGGGGGAGGGGGGCAGACATGAGTGGAGCTGTGGGTGCACGTGGCACACAGGTACCATCTGCCACGGGGAGGGACCCACTGGGGTGGCCCTTCCCGCCAGGTGACTCACCGTGCGTGGCGTGGTCTTTCCTCTGAAGCCACCAGCTCCGGATCAGAGGCCATCCTGGGCACCAGGGACCACCAATGCCCACGGAGCCGGTGGGTTTGGGCACCAAGGTCCTCCTCCACCTGCACAGAGACACCCTTCCCCATGCTGTTGCAAGGTGGCACCTCTGTGAACCCCACCACCAACTTGGGGGAGGGTTAGCACTGCCTCAGGGACCCCACAGGGGCCAGCCCCCCACCGGCACCTGGCTCTGGCTGCGCAGTGGCATGGGTTGCACAACGCCCCTCGCGTGGGCGCGAGGCAGGTCCCGCCACTCCCCGCCCAGGCCTGACTGGCGCCAGCCGGAGCCGAGTCCCAGGGGGCAAGAGGGGGCCCTGCTGTGGGGGCTCCCCAGCACAGAGCCATTGCCATGGGCAAGCACAGCCCGCTCGGAGGGGGCAAAACCCTGCCCAAGCTCCAAATTTCGGAGCTGGGTGTGGGACAGCATGTGGGTAACTCCAG